TGACAGACCAAGAGTGGGAAGACACGGGACCAGTCTTGTTGTCAAATCGCCCCGGACAAGTACTAATTTTTGGGTTTCGCTTCGGTTAATTTACGTTTTTTGTGCGATGATCGACAGCGATGGACCGGGCTGCATTGTTCTTGAATCAGGGCAACAATCGCTTCTAAATTCCTGTCCGTTTTTTACTCCGCGCTTTTAGATTTTTTATTTAATTTATTGTTTTATTAACGTGCTTTTTTTCGATTTGACGAGGCAGACATCGGGTCTTGCACACAAATCATTCAAACCGTGGACCCATCTGTACTTCTTCAGAAGGTTCGTATGACAGCGAGTGGCCTCCGGCAAAATTATCGAGACAGCTCAGCGCTCAGCGTTGTCAGAATTAATTTCAATAATTGATAATCGAAATAATTCCTCCTCAAAAAAGTGGTCAATAGATTCATTATGCTGTATCAGCTCAGTAGCAGGGGGCTGATGGTTTTACAGCATGTTCCTTACATAGGCAATTGAAAATCGATGTAACACGTGGTACCTTCATGACCATACCTCGTCCAATATGTTGGATTCCAAGTAATAATTATTTACGTAGACTCCTTGCGTTTTTTATTTATTTTTTTTTTAAATTAAAAATGTCAACGAAAATCCACGCATTTTGTAAAATTCTTGAATTTTTTTTCCTTTACATCTCGTTTGTGTTAAATTTTTTATCTATTACCAAAACAGTGAAAATTGGAAATGTCTACACCATAAAACAACCTCGTGCTCTTTTTTTCTCTTCGGTCGTCAACTTGCGATTTTCAAATTTTGAATAAGTGCTTTAAAGGAGGAAGTAAAGAATTCTTGATTAAATTCGCTGGCGTTGCAACGACGCCTCAAATCCATTTCTCTCACCTGTTATTATGAAATCTCAGGAGTGCAGGCTGCGTTTAATTCCCACCTTTCACGGGTCATTATTTATCCCGCGCTTTTTTAAATATTGTGCCAATTTAACATCCAGCTCACACTTGATTAATTGGTTCGGACCTCCACAATCCGACGCCATATCAGTGTAAAATCACTGAATTTTGCATATTTTTTATCAAGATTTACGGATGCTGGTAATCTGTCAGCCCTGCTTCAGCTACGCGCACAAAAATGTAAACCTGCAGCTCGAGATCGGTTCGAGTTGGGGTCAGCCTCTGCTGAAATTAGATTAGAAAAATTACGTCAGAGTTGATTGGTCGTTATTACTAAAACACCTAGGCGTTTAAAATAGTTGATCACGCTAATTTACCGTCTTCCTTGCGTGACGCGTAAATTCTGCCTCCGCAACCTTGTGACGCAACGGTTCTTAAGAAATGTGACGAATTAAAGTGCCTGGATTTACGTGTTTCCTTACCTACATTTTCTATTTTTGAAGACCTATGAGCTTCAACCCTCGTACACAGTTCTCACATAGTTACCAGTTTAATTCATTCATTTTATCGGCTGTTTCAGACGGATGCCACCATTCAGTGGCGTGCCGTACTTTGCGGTAAATCGATTGATTTGTCATTTAAACCTATGGAATAGGATTGATAAACAGGGTGTTCGCAACGAATACCTAAATAATCGACTCTTTACCATAGATTTAAATGGAGAAATATCGAAAATCGATCATTCATGCCTCGCCACTGCCACCATCGTGCGTCTCTAGCTTTTGGATCATAACCTTTATATACTGATTTAGTGATTACGTTATTCGATACAATATCGAAATATTTGTTCAAAACAAACTTACATAACCTCATGCACAAATTTTTCATGAGTTAATTGTATAAATTTATTAAAATTTAGTCACTGACCGGTCATAAATCAATTAAAGACTCATTAAACACGAGAACTTTTGATTGTAAGGAACTTTTGGACGCATTTGAACACCATGGCGCGAATGGGCGCGAATCAAAACATCTGTGTTTGTTTACATTTCGATATTATATCGAATGACGTAGTCACTAAATCAATCTATTCATGAGACCCTAGGCCCTAGGTATTAAATCTGAGCGTATTTTTATCGTCCATAAGGACCGCGTAGTATCGGGATACTTAAGCTCATATCATTAAAGTTGTTACACACCATCTCCGCACATTTTAAGGCACTGCCTTATCTTCAGCACCGCGAGCTTAGCATACAAAAACCCTGTTTCCAGAGCTCCGAGCGATACTTCACCGGAATTAATCGCGGTCATTTGTTCCGGAGCTTTGTCCCTGAAACCCTGCCAAATTCGCACGATTACACCATGTTCCAGCTCGGAAAGTTTGCGCTCCCAAACCTAACTGCGACCGTTCATAAAACCCGATCCGTCATTTTTTTTCCCAGAGCCCCTCCGTCCGCGATTCCCACGGGAGGCAGCTCGAAGCTGCACTTGACTTCGTATTCTGTCGTGCTAAGGAAAAACGCCGTATGACCAGTCGAGAGTTGCCAAATTCCCGTCGATAAAATGTTTATTTTGAAGGAAAAGATATGAATATTTTTCCTTGAAATTTTCTGGGGCTTAAGGTGAAATTGCGAACAAAATTATCTGAAAACCTGGAAGGGAAGTATTCATAAGTTTACCAGGAAATTCGTGTTTTATTAAAGGACATTTGGCAACGCCTGAAGGTTCATACGGCGTTTTTCCTTAGCACGGCAGTATTTGTTGCCGCACGCATGACTTGGCAAGTTGCGCGATAAATTCATAGCAAAAGCTCCCCGTTTACCCCGTCCCCCTTCCCTTCCCTTCCCGCCGAAGAAATTCTAAATCCGTCACCAAGTGCAATTCGTCTTCTCCAGATGGATTTATGGGCTCGAATACATATCCGCGGCTTATTTCTTTGTTTTTCCTCGAATTTTGCCAAAAGGAGTTCCGATACTCGAAGAAATTGCATTTGTTCGTGGTTGTGGTACTTATTTTTTCCTCAAGGTTCCCGGTTGCGGACAAGCGGTGGTTTCCGAGAAACTTGGTGGAAAAAATGTGATTTGATTTGATGGAGCGTAGATGGAAATGCAGCTTTGTTTTCCGACGAAATTTGGTTGGGCTTCGTTTTCTCCGTTTGCTGGTTTGGAATGATGCCACATACAATTAGTTTAATGTGACAAAGAAGAAAGAAAGAAGGAATACTTAATCACTAGAAACAGCAGCGATTTTTCGTTCATCATTAGAAATTGAGCGAAACATCAGAAAATTGGAGACAAAGGGAGAAAAACTTTTTTTTATTTCTTTTTTCTTAAAAGAGAATTGTAACAGCGGGAGTTCTTATCCAAGTAATGTCTTCATGCTAATTTTAATACCAGCGTCCTTCAGTCGTGAAAAATACGAATAGTATGTAATATTTAAAGAATTAAACAGAGTCAGAATTACAAAACTTAAGCGCCCCCCCGCCCCCCACCTCACTGTGGCATGTACGAAATATGTAAACTACGATCATACGCCAACTGGACCAAGTTTAGCAGCAGACCGATTGCTCGCAGAAAATACATATAACCCTCATACAATTTAAAATCATTCACTTCTTTAAATGTTCGCGGCCGGTGAGCTAACTGACACATTAGTTTCCTCGAAAAAAAATGTCTCCTGTAAATCGCCTCATTATTTCTTAACTCGTATTTATTTCAAACATGAACGGACCCATTCGGAACCGTTTATTAGTCGCCCTACACCCCACTCTTATTCGTGTTTGCATTCCGAGTGGCGACTCGCACAATCACACCGCACCAAATAAAGTGGACACGATCCGAATGGACTCGACGATTTCGTTCGGAAACCGGGCCTAAATTGTCCGATTTACGGGCTTGTCGACAAGGACGGCGCGGCGCGGCGGCAATTAGGACCCCGATTTTGTATTCACGCGGCGGTGCGCTATCTGGCGGCTCATCAGAAAAACGGTGCGTCCAATTATATGAGTCACCGCTTGTTTCATCTGGTCGGTGACCGAGCTGGCCGGCCAGGGTCCCTTCGTCACTTTGAGTGATAAAGTTAGTACTTTGAATTGTGACTCACTATTTATGGGAGCATTTATCATAACGATAAAAGGTACGTAGGTACGTGGTCAGGAGGGCTTGGGGGGCTCAAGTACCCCTGAAAACTATAAAAGAGGTATTTTTCAAATAAATTTGAGGGAGGACCCCTGGAGCCCTCTTATTCTGTGGGGGCAGCCCCCCTTTTGAAACAAAATCCTGGTCACGAGCCTGAACGATTGTCGTAGCAAAAGAACACGTATCTAAATTCTGGTAGTTGAAAATGTTACTTTATCTTTATTTATTCACCACTTCTTACTTTGGTGAGGGCATAATTAGGTACTCTATTACTATCGGTTTAGACAATATTTTAAGCAGAAAAAAGATAATAATCACCTGAAAACTAACGATGATCAGCAATCTTTCGAATCGGTTAAGTGTTACAAGAATCTGCAACTTTGCAAATCGAGGTACATGATCTCGTAGTTTCATCATTGTCATATCTTCTTCGTCAACACTCAGAAGTGAAAACTTGCAGTCAAATAAGAGAGTGGGGTTGCTGAACGCTTCTCAACTCCCCTCACAATCAGCCTGGAAGCACTTTTAAACTCTCTTGACTTGAAACTGCTTCGTCTTTGCGAACCTCATGAGATAATTTTAAGATTTTTCTTGAAACCAGTGGCGTGGGGTGAATGATCGATTATCGATATTCCTCCATTTGAGCGTATGGTAAATAATCGATTATTAAGGTGTTCGCTACGAACACTCTGTTTACCGATACTTTTCCATAGGTTTAAATGGCAGATCATTCGATATATCGCAAAGCACGCCACGCCACTGCAAACCTCTTCGACGAAAGGAGGAGCTCTCCGACGACCAGCTAGTCAGGGGAGTTTGAAAGCACATATCTAACTGATAATCTCATGTGAATCTTAGTGACTACAGAATCCAAATTGACCCTGCAATCTGTTTTTCCTTCATATTTTAAGCCAAACTGCGCAAAAAATCACTTCCTAATCGTCTTCTTACTCTCTCCAATTCGTAGGTAACCAAAACCTTCTTCTAAACGTGGCAAGGAAACCGAAATGTTTATGAAGTGTGTTAAGTTCCTCAGGAAATTACGATTCCAGCGCTACAAAATATTCCCCCGCATCATCGTGCAACAAATCGATTCATGACTGAAAATCCGAGGATCTCAGGGCAAGGCCCAGTGAGGATGCTGATCCAAAACCTAGTGCACGTCCAAGGCGAACCTTAGTTTCGATATCGCGAAGTTTCCCGTGTGACGTCATCATGTTCCCACCGAGTGACGAAGTCCGGGCGCCGAAGCTGTACTCGCCGAGCGACAGCTTCAAGTCGCCGACCTCCTTCATCAACGGCTTCCAGCCGTGCGTCAACCACTTCAACTTCCACAACGAGAGCGATGCCAACAACATCGACCGCAACGGAACGTACGTCGTCAAACATGTGAACGGCGACGCCAACGACGTTACCAACAAGAACGTGTTCTTCAGGAACGGACATGACGTCAACAAAAACGGTGATAGGAAGAATAAATCGGGGGAGACGACCCCCGATGTCTGCAACCGGAACGGGTTCTTCGGGAACCGGAACTGTGTTTTCGGGAGGAGCCCGGAGGTTAACAACAAGAATATCAAGTCACCGACGTCCAACTTCTCCTTGCGCTCGCCGATCTCCAACACGCTGTTCCTGAACCTCCTCAACCGGAACAACTCGGCCGGGATGAAGAACAAGGTGGTGGAGAAGAAGAACTGCAACAATATCAACAGAAGCGCCACTGTTGGCAGGCCTGTCAACTACAACTGCAGCAGGCGCTACGCTGAGGTCGGGCGCTGGAAAAACAGGTTAGTTTTTTTACTTCGTATTTTTTATTGGTTATTTCAGGGTAGAGTACCTATATTGAGAGAGTATGGCCACTGGTGTTACCACCTCTGATTGGCTCAGCCATCTTAGGCTGAATGGAGCCCTTAGGACCCAAAAATGGCGGACGCCAATTAATGTGATGCAAAATGACTCAAAATGTAGTTTTCTTTGCTTATCGTAACGAGAAATTTACCCAAATGCACTATTGCGATTCTTTACATATTTTTAAGGCTATTCGTGTGCAATTTTTGAGAAGAATTATCTTAGATGTAGTAAGGTTGGCAGCAAGTGCGGTTGGTGAAAACCGTCAAAAGTTGGCAATGACCCCCCTCCCATCCACAAAAACAAAACAAAGCACCGCCATTTTTGGGTCCTAAGTCTCTCCATGGGGCCCAGTGGCCATACTCTCTCAATATAGGTACTCTATTTCAGGGTATTGTGCACGCGATATTATGGCGAAGCAGTTGGTATGGTATGGGCATGTGCAGAGGATGGCTGAAACCAGGTTGCCGAAGAAGGTGTTGAAGTGGGTCCTTCCAGGTAGGCGTCGCAGAGCGTCCTAGCACGCTGTAAAAGCGCCTTATACATACATAGCTCAGGGTGTCTACTAGTCCAGACTTACCGGAAAGTCCAGAAACAGTACTGATTTTTTAAGAGTCATCCGAAAGTGCTGAAAAAATGCGGAAATTCTGCTCGAAGGTCCGGAATATTTTCCTCCATACCACGCGTGTTCTTTGCCCGGAAAGTATGCAATCCCCTGCGCGTTGATTCTTAGAGTAGTATTTGCCCACAAGATTGCGATTGTTCAATCAGTTAAATCTTCCAACCACCAATGTAATTTTGTACCTACGTTACTTTTGTTCCAATTTGAGCGGGAATTTCAAAGTTTTTTTCCAATTTTATCAAACAGAGATACTGGAATAGTGCTGAATTTTTGTATCCGACTCCCTGCTAGTTGGAAGAAGGCTGTCAATAAATATGCTTGATTTGGTCCCTGCTGCGAGGAGACGAAGGGTGCACTTATTAATATCCATTAATTTGATGTGTATCTTCGATCATGTGGCCGTCGTGAGACACCCCGTCATTTTTCTGAAACAAATTTCCCCTACACAACATGGCAACCGCGTATGCTTTGCGAAGCTGGACGTGTTTTTCTCGGGCGTAAGGGGCTGAATAATGAATGAACGCATGTTTCAGCCAGTAGTGTAAGGAGCTCAGCTGAAATTTCAGGCTGGTTAGTTCAGTTAACGGTCGCTCGAACCCCTTCATCGATGGCTCCGTCGAGGCGACTTGCGGAAGATTGTTGTAGGATAAAACTCCTCTACACGTATTTTTACATGTTATACCATACACAGCACATGAATAATTCCGCAAAATATGACAACCTTGTTTCGTAGCAGTATTCCTCCCCCCTCCTACCCGTTTCTTTTTACTCTGTCCGCGTCTGTGTACGCCTAGTTCCCTGGTAAGTCAACGTATTTTTAGTCTGTGCTGTAGCACTGTGAACTCTCATCTGTAACCAATTTCTGAGTGAAATTACGAGTATCGTGATTGATTTAGCGTAACAGGAAAAGCCTAAGTCTGTCAAATAATATGTAATACATGTTTACGACTAAATGGAAGGTTTTTCTGGCAGCACAGCACATTACGATAAAATTTTAGAAAAATGGAAAGTATCGTACCACAATAAGGCTCATCACTGATCGCTGATGTCCACTGATTAGCATCAACTTGCAGAAATGATTTGAAATTTTTTTGCAGAACGAAACTACTGATGCAATAGTTTTGAACTTAGCCCCAGTAATTGACATAGGTTACAAAGATGAGTATTCCATGATGTTTCATATTTCCTTTTTTTTGGTAAAATGTATTTCTCCTGGATGGAACGTACTTGAAAATGATTCCAAATAAATGAGGAATACTTTAGTTCAAATTAAGCCGCGCGCTTTGCCCAGTTTTTTAGATCAGTTTTTGTTCATGCACACGATGAATTCACTTAAAAATTTAATTCAATATTCTTGCCTAAGTCTGGCAGTTCTTCGTGTGAGAAATGTTTTTTGCCCAGACCACCCATTTGATTTTCCCCAAATTCATCTCCTCCCACAACCTGTCTCAAGGTTCGCAACAAGCCCAGCCTCGCAAGCCTCTAAAACTTCGCCCCAAGAAAATATCTCCGTGGAGTTTTGATGTTTAAAAGATTTGTGGTTTACCAATTGTATATTCGTTAAATTATGTGTGAAATGTAGGATGACTCCTTTACTTCAGTCAAAAATCAACTCCTGAACTCGAATAAAGCTCTTTGAGTTGTGGCCGCTTAATGGTAAGCTGAATCGTATTGAGCTTAATGGTACCTGCAATGTAAAAAAGTCGTTCTATTTCAGTCGAATACCATGCATGCAGAGGAAGGATTAAAATTAGAAAGGTTGCTACCCTAAATTATTCGAGTTAAGGTAGAAACCAAACACGCAATTTGGCTTGGAGTAGAGAGCAATGATAACGAGGACTTGTGATGAATAGAAGCCCTCGGCGCGGTGGTCGGCATGAAATCCATGAAACGCATATTAGCCCCTACAAGACTGCGTGAATACTTCACGCATTGCATCAAACACTGTGTGGTCGGCGATCGGTGTGACACGCGGATTAGCGCCTACAGGACTGCATGAATACTTCACGCATTGCGCCAAACACAGTGAGGTCGGTGCGGCAGCGGCGGAAGCTATTTAAATTATTAAACCACACTTATGTTTGTTCTTTCACAATTGTTTCGTTTATTTCTTATCAATGGAAGACCTTGTCCACACAGAGGTAGGTTTACGGAACTTGACTTTTGCGCAAAGTTCCGTGAACTTATGCTAGTATTGATAGGGCTTTCACAAAAAAAGTTCTGAACACTAGTAAACGCGTCTTATGCCCCCCCCCTCCGGCACGTCCATTTGATAGTTCTGAGCAATTTTTCCAAACGAATGACAAGGGGGCGGTAAAATACAGGCGGTTCATGGGCGGCAAGTATATGCGAATCTGGCCCTGGTAAGGCTATCGATTTAAGTGGCAAAAACTTGTGTCACGAGTCTTTCATTGTCACTAAATAGTCGCATCCAGACATAGCTATTGAAAAGCCATCGATTAATATTGAGCGCTTTCAATTTTTTCCGCTTGTGATAACAAAATAAGTCACTCATGCATTTGTTAGTCGTCGTTGCACAGAAACAGGGTGTTTTGTGTAATTAATGAATTAATTGAGATTCCAAGTATCAAGGATGCGATTTTCTACCTACTGTCATACGTAACCTCACCAGTGTATTTAGCCTAATTGCTCCTGCTCAGAGAATCTGACCAGATTCTCAGGTGGACTCGCTTTTGAAATGGACTTATCTCTGCCCAACGGAACTATGTGCATTATGACGTGAGCCCCGTTATGCACGTATATTCAAGGATTTCAGGGATCATGTCTTACTGCACATAGTTCCGTTTGGCAGAAATACGTCCAAATATAGTGGCGTTCCATGACGACCGCGGCCGTAACTTGCAGTTAAAATAGAATTAGAACATTCAAGCTCGCAAAATCGTATGCAGAAACGCATTTAAAGTTCAACGGAAAATCCGCAACACATCTGGGAGCCCTTTTTTGTATTAGCCATGAGATCGTCCCATGCAAAATTGGCAATGCACGGTTTATTAAGCCTGAATTTGCTGATTGTCAGCGGTATCGACACATGGTCCTCGACCCCGCCTTCAATGTTTGCCTTCCGTCGTGCACTTGTGCGATGTTGTCAAGTTAAACCTTTTTCACGCCATTTAAACTCGCGATTGAGGGGAAATTCAACAAAATTGAACTGGCAACACGCCCACATCTACTCTGCTCGCTCAGTAGCTTGCTCGAGCTTTGGAGCTGTGCTGGAGCTCAACGAGACGAACACTGAGCTGTTTAAATATTGGTTAATATCGGACTCAATACTCTGCTTGTCAAATTTATTGATTGTGATTGAAGTTTTAAGTTGATCTGGAGGTAAATTGACAGCTTTGCGGTGTTTCCAGCAACTGTGATTGCCCTCCCCTACCGACGAATGCCGGACTGGGAAAAAGTGATCGAGCTTTGATTAGGACCCGTATGTGGATTGTTTGCAGGTTAATATTGAGTATTGGCGGGAAAAACCAGTTAAGCATTGGATTTGAACCAGGGATCAAAGTCTCCCGAAAAATAGCTTGTTACCCCCGGGGAACAGGAATTTCTACGAATATGACCAAGGAATGCAAGTAGAGGAAGTGCACGTTTCATGACCAAAAGTCTTGCATTCTTTGCTTGCTTGCTTGGTTACATGTAAAAAAAGTGGCAATAAATCATGATTTTTTGAAATCGGCAGTAAAACACTCCGATCAAAAAGAAGTGCCAGTAGACTCTCCACTCACTAAGAATTTGTTCCGTTGCTGCTATCTTGTCCAGACTCTCAACGGGAAGGGATAGGGGGTCGGACTTGGGGCACAATAGTAAGAATGAAAAAGATTACTCTCAGACCCTTTGTCCTCCTACTAGTCTTGAGGAACGGCTACACTTACGTCCCGCTCTTTTCTCTTGTTTTTCGCGATATTTAAGGGAAATTAATCAGGTTGAATTTCGGAACAATTCAAAGTCAAACGTTTGTTTATTTTTGCTTTTTTCGATTTCACGGTGGCGCTGCTTCCTTTTCATGAAATTGTATGGAAACTAGGTTTTAATAAACATGTAAAGTGTAAAGGTAATATAGTGCGACTGAAAGTTATTTTTTAGAAGTGGGAGGTTTCACTCGAAGTTTAGATTGCAAATATTGGCACTGGAGTCGCTGTGCGATGACCAACGAATTCGTCGATCGATAATCTGGCCTCAAAAGCTAAAAACGCAGGACAAGGCAATACTAATCGTGCTATTTGCTCTTGCAACTAAGGCCAGGAACGCAATAAATATCCTCTTACCAGCGTCCAATTAGACACGTCGTTAGGGATTAGA